GCTTTAGATCTGGAGAAACTCATCTTTCTGGGATGGTTTGGGAAGAGCCTTACAGACGTGGTCCTCTCTAGGCGTGTGTATACATTCTGGTAACACTTCCCTGCAAGCACACGGGATGTGTCTATGAGCTGGTTTTCCTAATGTGCCTACAGTTCATGGAGTCAGAGTTTGGATCAAGCAGGCAGATCATAATATTTAGCAATTCATTATGCTAAAATTAAAATGACTTTGATGACATCTGCTAAGACATTTATTCTCTTACACAAAACACATGAACCACTCTGAGCAGCAGGGTGGTGGGAAGCAGGGACAGAGTTAGAGGGAGGAATGTGGGCATCCATCCTCATGTAACACTCTTCTAACTCATTTAGCCAGATGAAGTAACCACATATTGGTAAAGCATGCTCAAGCCACCTTCGCGGTGACTCAGGCAGTTAAAGCATGGCACTTTAGCTTTAATCCGAAGTTCTCTCGTATTAATATCAGACATTGCAAACTCTGGAGTGGGTAGGAAAATATTTTCAGTCATTTTTTTCATTTCTGAGCCCACTGTGGCTTGAAAACGGAGGTGCTGATTTTTTTTCATGATTGCCTTGCAAGAATTCTATCTTGCAATGACTTTTTCTAGAAAGAGCCAGGGAACCATGCTTTATTATTTGCCATTTAATATTTGGGTGAGTTCAGCCTCTTCTGCCGGGGGTGGGGGTGGTCAGAGGACAGTCTTAGGCATTGGTTCTTGGTTTGAGATGTGGTCTCTGCTTCACTGCACATGCTCTAGGTGGTCCTGAGCTTCCCGGAACTTTCGTATCCGCCTCCCGATGGAGGACCTGGAGCACAGGCATGTACTGCCACACTCACTCTATGTTCATGGCTTCAAACCCAGGCCCTCACATTTGCCACATGAGCCACAGGACCATCTTTCCAGCCCTCAACCTCTCTTTCTGAGATGCTTAATATTATGTGATAATTGCATTTATTTAGCTGAGCCAGGCTTCAATTCCACAGCAGTGTCTGTCCTGGCTGGAAGCCATTTATAACCAGATAGCTCTTGCTACACGGGATGGAAATCCATCTGACGTGGGGGGATTAATTTTGATAGGTGAATTAAAGTGGATTCTCTGCTCTTGGTTTGTTGAAACCTGAGAAATAATTAATGCCTATTCATTTCAAAAGAGATCCCAAGGGAATATGGACATTGGTTTTCTTCCTCTTTTTGCCCTTTCTAGCAACATGACTACCTGGTGTGTTGTCCAAATGCAGGTCCAACACTGCAGGAGTTATGAATGAAAGGTCTACAACTTCATGGGGAAGGAGCTGAGGTCTTGATGGCTAGTTTGGATTCACAGGAAGGTCTCATAGATGGAACTTTAAAATGAGTTTAAAAAACTTATTTTCAGTAGTCACTATGATTTTCATCTCCCTTTTTTGGTCTTAGGTAATTTCTCTGGCACCTTCCTTTGACTGACAAACCATGACTCCTTGCTCTTGTCTAGACTGCGTTTAGCTTGTAGAATCTCTATTCCCCACATCATCAAGATCTCCTAGCTGCTGAACTTCACTAGGATAAATGGATTCATCTTATGTTTACTCCCTTTGGCTATGAGGTCAATAAGATGATGTCAGACAGGAGAATGAACACTTTGGAACATTCCTAAATAACGCTCAGCAAGAAGCCATCTGCCGTGGCCCAGCAAGGCACGTCATGTTCTCGGCCCTAACAGACATTAGTGACTTGCAGAGTGGCCATGTGTATCATCTCAGCTGGGCAAAGTTGGCTGCAGCACTTTGCAGCAGTTATAGCTAGGACAGGAAATCTCAGAAAACCTGGAATACAATGAAAGAAAGCAACAGGCCAAAGAAAGATCAACAGGATGCCGAGGCTTCACAAGTAGTCAAGGGTGGCAACCAAGAAAGAAAAAGAAGCCGGAATATAGCCAACCTTTTTTTAATTAGAGTATATTATACTTCCAAACTCGATACACTAGAAATTGGCAATGCAACGTAAGATGCAAAGGAAAATACCAATTACTGTCAAAATGACCCTGTACAGCCTTGTAATGCAAAAGCTTTATACAATACAAATTTTCAGTAATGTACACAAACCTTGACAGTATGATCATCTGAACATAATATGAGGAGTTAAAAAAAAAAGAGAGAGAAGAAAAGGAGAGAGAAAGTGCTGAGAACCCTAATTGCATTACTCTGTGGAAAACCAAGCCAGCTTTCATGGGAGAATGCATAGTGGAAACTGAACTAAAGTTAGTTGTTAGGAGAGTGTCTCAAAGGTGTTAGTGTTTTCACAGGAAGGACATCTACGGAATACATCCTTCCCCGAGTACCAAACCGCAAACCAGATTCAGGGGCACGCTTTATCTAGGTGGATTCTGAAAATGCTGTAGATTTTCTTCTTTATTAATAACAACAACGATAATATAAAAGAAGTCAAACAAACTGCAAACACACGTTTTTCTCACTCAGAAAACTTTTTATAATTTACCAGAAAGATTGATGACTTTTTCCAAAGTGCTAAAAAAAGTTGCCCAATTATATTAAGCATCACCAAGTCATCCAAATACAGGCTCAGTGGCAAGCAGTGAAATGCACGGCATCTGGGCGGTGAATGTTCCCACCCGCCTCCCACTCGCTCTCTCGAGCTCCCTCCCGAGGACCTCTTATTGCACAGGTGGCATGCTGTAAAGCCCAGAGTCCTCATTATCAGGTCCCCATTCAGGTTCTTAACCTGTGGGCACTTCTGTGTGAGTCGCCTTCCCGCCGACCTCCGGGGGACCACTGTGACCCTTGACTGCTGTCACTGAACCTGCCGTTTTGAAAACACATTATCAGCCAAGTGGCACATTCTCCATTAAATGGGGATAATAACATGACTTTAAACAAAAGCAAAAGCAAATAAAAAACAACGAACCCACCCATAAACCCAGTGACCCTGGGATCATATTGTCCAGAAGTGTTGAGCGTGTCTTTTACCGAGATATCCACACGGTGAGCTGAACACCGTTTTAGACAAGGCCAAGAGTCTCCGCGGGAGGACGACTGAGGCCCTGGGGCCTTCCTGGGCTAGCAGGTTGGTCTCCCTGCCTTGTGGACATCTCCGTAGTGTAAACTTGTTTTCCAGGGCCCTAACCAGGCTCTTCACCCATGGCTGGGTGACAGGTGCGGGAGGGTCGCCGAGACCCGCCAGGTTTGCAAGAGGGAGGCTGAGGGGGTGGGGTCAATGGAGTGCAGGCGGCCAGTCTTCTGGCTTTCAGTCGAACTGCACTGACTGCAGCGAAGCAATCCTGACAAGGGAGACACGGGCGCTTTTATTTCTCCCTGGCTAACGTAAGGAAAAGGAGAGGTGGGTATAACCCCGCCCCAGGAGAATACAGCGAGGGAAAAGAACGGTCGGAAAGCATTCCTCCTGGACACCAGGGCTTCCGCTGATAGCAACAGAAGCTTTCACACTCCAACCTTCTCGCTTTTATACAAAGCACACGTCTTCCTGCTCTTTCAGCCTGTTGCATACTGGAAATCCTGCTGTCTTACAAATACAAGCCAGTGAACATATTCAGCCAAAGATTTACTTTTCCTTTTTAAACCATCCATTATTTTCTACGATAAGCTAAGGGCTATGCAACCGATCCACACCTGCTTCTCGCTGCAGTAAAGTGCTGCAATATACTGCCATTTTAATGACCATAAAATAAGAGCTTTAAAGAAGTATAAAGTCAGCCTCCCGGCGGGCTACATCTACCAAATGGAAGGTGGGGTCACTAATATTCATGGAGGGTACAGCACAGCCAGAGGCTCTGGGGACAGTGGGGCTCCTGGGGCATCAACCGAGGCATAGGACCTACAGCACCTGCTTGTTGTGTCCGTGCTCATACGTCAAAGAGGTCGTGGCTAAAATTTCAGACATAGTCTACTCATTCCATAAAAAAGGTACAATTCCTTCCTTTTCTTTTACTTAGTCCTTTTCTCCCAATGAGAAACAAACTAGTGCAAGACCAACGCACTGTGCAAAGCTGCTTTTCTTTTTAGTCTGAGCATTTACACCCAGAATCGATCCAAACCCCTTTAATCTCCTTGGCTGGATTTATCAACCATAAAAATTTCCACTCATACAATTTTTTTCCTGCAAACAACTCAATACACCACACACATATATACTCTGCCCTTTAAAAAGGATGCCCTTCTGTGTTTGTGTGTGTGGGTGTGTGTGTGCGCGCGCATTCACCAAACACCTCGTCTCCATGTGGGCACACACAAAGAATACCCAAGTTTTGTGATGTCAGCTGTGCAATAGAACTGTCACCTGATCCCGTCCATCTTCCTAAGTGGAGATGTGACCTCCAGGCTTCGAGCACTCCACTGGAAAACATCCTGGCACCCTGCACATCTTCATCCACTAAGCACCAGGCCCTACCACTCTGTAGCCATACAATAGGAGAGAAAGGCCCTGAAGGAGGTGGGGAGACCATGGTGGATGAACAGTCCAGAAGGGAGAGAAAGAATGTTCCTCACTATCAAAGAGGCCAGTACAAAAGAATGTGTAATAGAAATGTCATACACCACACCACAATACCACACGCTCATACAATACCACATACATATACACACACCACACCATACACACACACACCACACACACCACACACACAATACTACACACACATACAACACCACATACATATATACACACCATACCATACACACACACAGACACACCACACCACACACACAATACTACACACACATACAACACCACATACATATACACACACCACACCATACACACACACAGACACACACCACACCATACATACAATACTACACACACATACAACACCACATACATATACACACACCACACCATACACACAGACACATACACAGACAGACAGACACACACACACAGAAACACACATACACTTTCTCTTTCCCAATCCACAAATGTCCACAACACCCCAGTCACCCAGCAGAAAACCCAATGTACCAGTAGAGAAGCTTCCAAGTGCTGATTGCTATTAAGGGCACTCTTTTCAGGGCTTAACATGACAAAATTCCTTTCAGAGGCAAGCACTCGGGAGGGCTGAGAGTGGGAGGGATGGCTGGGGAGGCATGCCTCTGAAGGTAGGAGGAGGCAGCAGACCACTTCTCTGAAGATTGGCTAAAGCAGCTTTCAGGTCAATGGAATAGGTATACATACAGAGCCAATTTCTACTCCTTACTAAAGATATACAGTACACATGGTCCAGACCCCTGGGGCCTGTAGGTTTTGCAGCAACATACACCTGCTGGGGTTGTGTTTAAGTTTTGTGGGTTTTTAATCTTTTCCTGTCTCTGTCTCTTGGTTTTTGGTACAGAACAGGGCTGTCCTCAGACAGTCTCTGCTCTTTCTCTTAGTCCAAGATAGGCAAGAAAGGAGTGTTTGGGTGAGGGGATGCTGGGAGGCGCAGTCTGAGGTCGGGGAGGCTGGAATGTGAGATCCAGGTGGCTCTTGGGGTACAACATTGTCAAGGGAATGAGATGGGCAAAATCCGAGTTTCGGTATTTGTCAAGACACAGCGGGGAGCCGCTCAAGGCCAAGGCCTTGAGCGCCAGGTTGGGCTCCGAGCTGCTGCCGTGGGCTGCTGACAAGGCCACGGTCTGCAGAGCCTGCGAGGCGGACATGACCGACAGTGGGGACAAGAGACTCCGGCCACCCCCCACAACCAGGAGGGGGGCTGCAGGGCCAGCTGGCTCTCTGGAGGCTGGGCTCAGGCCTTTCTTGTCGTCCTCGGGGCCATCCCCACTCTGATGCTTCTTCACGTGCCGGCTGAAGACGAAGGGGTGTGTGGTCTTGAACAGGCACTGTCCGCAGCTGAAGGTCTGGCGGGGGGCATGCTTCAGCTTCTTGTGCAGGTTGAGATTGTCCTTACGCTTGCAGCTGTAGCTGCACTGGTCACAGTGGAAGGGCCGCTCCCCGGTGTGCACACGCACGTGCTCGATGAGCTTGTTGGCCGTCTTAGACAGGTAGCCGCACTGGTCACACTTATAGTGGTTGCCCAGGCGGTGCTCGCGGGTGTGCGTCTCCAGCTCCAGCTGGTTGGCCTTCACCGTCTGGCAGATCCGGCACTTGTACTCCATCTTGTAGTGGGTCTTGAGGTGGCACTCCATGGCAGCAGGACGGTTGGTGGAATAGATGCAGAATGGGCACCTGCCAGGGAAGCAAGGCAAGGGAGGGTGAGCCACGGGGGTCCGGTGGCAACCCTACATCTCCCCTCCTCACCGGTCTGCCCTGGGCCCGCCCTTGGGTCCCCAAGGCCTGGCCTGCTCAGCCCTGCCACCTCTTGGATGGCCTTGCTTGGCCTCACTGTTGACAGGGAGCTCTGGGCGGTCCGCTCAGCTGGTCTGGGGGCTCCAGGCTGCAACAGCCGAGGCCATCCCTCACAAAGGAGAGAACTCGAGGAGCAAATGAAGCTGGTACTCCCCTCCTGCCCCCTCCCAGCCCCTGGGGCCCTCTCCACCCCCACCCCCCACTGGGCATGGCAGAAGTCGGGCTTCCTGACCTCCCCTCTAGACGGGAGCAACACAAAGAATCGACTTTTCATGCACCACACCAAGCACACGCAGAAAGGCTAAGAGGTTGTAAAGAACAGCTTACAGGGGAGAGCTACCTCCAGCAAACAGAAAGTCACAGGAGCCAGAGTCGTGCTTATTAATGGGGTTAGGATGAAAGGCCTGTGTGTGTCCCTCTGTGTGCCAGTGTGGTGTGCCTGTGTGCACCAGCATGTGGACTCAGCGTGGCATCTCCTAAAGTGCCAGTTCTCCTCCAGGGATGGGAGGTGAGGGCCGGGACAGGGGCCCGGGAGCAGGCAGCCCACATAAACGGTCCCTCCGCTCATGAGGGTGAGGAGGAAGGGGACTGCTCTCTCGAGCTGGAAGACATTCTTGGGACATAATCATGTCATAGAAATCCCAGGGATTCGACTGGAAGGGGAAGTCTCCTGGAGCAGGACTTTCTGGGATTTCTTTTGCGTTCTCTATGGCTCTCAGAAGAGCACTGAGGAATACTGACTCAGAATCTGAGCGTCTTTACTGACAGCTGCGGTAGACCTGAAGTGGGGCCGAGTCCCGGCTTCCGGCCCTGACTGGGCTCCAGGGGTCTCCTCTAGCACAAGGCCTGGGTAGCTCTGACTGGGACTCCAGTCTCCACCGCGGATCACGCCACCACAAGTCCGGTCGCTGTCAGGGGGCTGTGAGGAGTGGGGTGTGTTTACAAAAGCTGCTGGGCTCCCTGCTTGGAAGCTGCCAGGTTTGAGTCTGTGGCTTAGAGGATAACTGTAGCATGCGTGCTCTTTCCAGAAAGAATGTCGATGCCTGAGTGGCTGCCTCAGCTTGGACTCAGCTCCTGCAAGGCAGGGCTCGCAAGGGGACTGTCCTCAGAGGGTTGGAGAGGTGTTCAGCAGAGCCCAACAATCAGGTGCACCGTGCACTGCCTCCTCAGCGCCAAGCTCGCCGTTAGCCCTGGAACCTCAGCTCACAGAGAGTGCACAGAGATATAGAGCCCATTCCCAGGTCAAGTGCACACACAACCCCTACGCCAAGCTGGGCCTTACCTAGAGGAGTCTGAAACTCACCACTGTCCTGAGCTACGGCAAAAGAAAAATAATAGTATAATCTTATTTGATCTGCATTATCAACAGGATATAGAGTACAAGCAGTCCCATCACAGAAAAGCATTTAGACATCGGCGGTCTGCCTGAGTTAAGGACGTTTCTGTGACCCTCAGCTCAGCCTGCATTTCCCTGCTCAGGCAAAACACACTGGCTTTTTCATGCTCCCATTATTTATCTTAAAGACACTTTCTCAGGTAAATCAATTAATTCTCTGATACGGCAAAAGAAACAAACAAAACAAAACTCACTGTATAGCCAGAAGGCATTATCAAATTTTTTTTCAAAGAATTCTTCTACTTGGTTGTCCTAGAACATAAACTATCATACGGGGATGGTTAGCACCGACAGGAAGTGTCTGACCCAGTGAAGCATTGAGGTCACTGTGCAGTGTCCCCAGTTTGTCAGAGGCTCAGGCCTGCTTGGGGTCTCAAAAGGCGAGAGGCAAGGCCACAAGTGGCGTAGGTGTGACTCAGCTCCCAGGAGGCAATGACACCACTGCATCCACAGAGGGCAGATTTCTTCTTTTTAATAGAGAGGGTACAAATCTCGATAAAGGGACAGTGGGTTACACAATCCCAGCTAAGCTTCTGCCAGGCATTTCTTAGCCTTTCACTATGACCGCCCCACCACCCCCAGGGTGGAACAGGGTGGGATGGCATCAACAGGAGGTGCTACGCCACGGCTCTTCCGTTACTTTGCAGAGGGTGCCCTGACCAGCCAGCCCCCGCTCCGCCCCCAACACCTGCTCCAGGTCCCTTGGGGCTCTCTAACTCTTACTCATTCAGGAGGCACGCCACCTCTCTGAGGTTGTTTCAGGGATGAAAATGGTTTAAAGTGAGAGGCTCCCCACTTATATTAAGAAAATACAAGAAAAAGTGTTTCCCCCATTCTTTTAGCTATATGGTGAATTTTAGATGAAAATGCCTTGACAGTTGTCTTTCTGTACCCAACTGTTTTATGCTCCTGTCTCTTTACTACATCCAAAATGCCTTGTGATTTGGGACTCTGCTTCCAGAATCAGTGGAAGATTAAATTCTGGTGGTGCTGGGACATGAATCTCCCAAGGTGAAATGGTATTTTGTTCTTCCTCTGCCCTTAGCATCTATGGTCAGGCCAGCCCACAGTGTGCTTGGCAACAGCTGTTGGGTCTCGCCTGAGGCCAGGGGCCTTGCTGCAAATAGTGCTTGAGGATGATGGTTCTTGCCTACATCTTTTGGGAAGGCGCCAGCATGTCCGCATCAGGCATTTGGTGTTTGCATGAACACTTGCTGTCTGATCAAACCATTGAGAGTCTACTTTGGGGGCTCGAGTGCCTACAGGACTTACTTAAAAAGCTAAATACATGTCAGGCCATCTAAAAAATGAACACGGTAACTTGCAGTGACAACTTGTGAAATGATCACTGCCTGGGGGACACTGGGCTGGAACCCATTAAACTCAAGTCTGAATGCAACCCAGCACCACAGTGTAGACTAGGCTGTCACACTGTGCTGATGCTCTGTGTTGTTCAATGCCACAAGCCTGGGGTACTTGTTAAGTGGCTTGTCATGCTGTTGGGTGACTCCCTTGGGGACAGCTGGAACCTCATCCAGCCAGAGGCAGCAGATCTTTCTAACTCTGCCCATACCAAGCTCCCCCACTCTCTGACCCCCAAAACCTCCATGGGGGGTGGGGCAGGGCAGGGGGAAGGGGTGTTTAATAACAACTCAATAAAAGATTCTGTACTTGCTTTCCTTACTTGAGCCCACCGGTGGGGACAGTGTGGCATTTCTTATGCTCCAGCAGCTGCTCAGGGGTCTTCATGAACTTGTGGCACACGTCACACTCAAACATCCGGGTGATGAGGTGGATTTGCAGATGGCGCTCAAACATATTCTTCGTCTTGCAGACAAAGTTGCAAAAAACGCATTCGAACCCTGAAAGGACCGAAGCTGGGTGTAGGAGTGTGTGGGGAAGGGCAGGCAGGCAGTCGTGGGTGAGCTCCCCTTCCTGCCAACCCTGCACCCTGCACCACACACAGCTTCTCCAGGTACCATCCCCCACATCACTGCCCGGAGATGGTTCCACAGTCAGCCTCAGTGTCCATGGCCCCTCCCCGTCTTCCCATCCCATATCTGAGCACAAACCAAACCGAAGCAAAGGGCTCCGTCCAAGTGGTGAGCACCTTGTTGCAGCTGTTTGCCTCGCCAAGGTGCGTCCTTAAGACTAGGTCACCCTAGGGTGGGCAGGGCGAGCAGGCCATGTCCTCCTCCTCCTCCTCCTCCTCCTCCTCCTCCTCCTCCTCCTCCTCCTCCTCCTCCTCCCTCACCTTTCTCTGGCTTTTCCTCGCTGTTCAGTGATGGCTGGCTCCCGGGTACCACGGAGATGACCAGCAAGTTGTTCCCACCCTTGCTTTTCTGGGAGCTGTCTGAGTCATCTTTGCCATTGGCTGAGTCACTCAGAGTTGACAGTGAAGATGAGGAGGGGCTGTTTGATTCACTGGGGGTCTTCCTGTCATCACCTGGAAAATGAAACAAGCCAGGTCTGTCACAAGGCTGGGACCCCTTAGAATGACGGCAGGCGAGGAAGGGGCGTCGCCAGTTTCTGGGAGTTCACTCCTTCCAGTACCCCCAGGGCACCCACGGGGAACCTCATCCCAGTGCAGCCACGGAGAGGGCATGTGGGGAAAGTTGGACCCAGATAAGAGTGGGGCATTTATGAAGGTCTTACAGCAATTAAAACATGGCAACAGCAGCTAGGATGGGTCACACAGAGTCCAGGACCTGCGTTTCATTTCAGATGCTTGTCTTGGTTTACCCTCACACATTTCCTAGGTCTGGGGCTGTGGCTCAGGGTCGGAAAGAGGACTCAGCATGCCCGGGGCTGTCCATCTAGTGTGTGCACAATGGTACCTCTCCTAGGCTATTACCATTCCTCCTTCACAGAGACCAGATGTGATTGCTGTACAGTGCAGAAGCCTGGCTCAGTGGGCCACTATGCTCACGCTCATCAGCACACATCGGGCTCCCCTTCAAAGCCAGGCACAAGGAGGTCAGGAGCCACGATGGTGTCATGAGACTTCTAACACTGCTACTGAAACTGCTAAGAACCAGAATATATGAAACAATGTTTACAACAATAGACACGAGGCAAGGAAGAGGTTGGTCTCTGAGGGGCAGGGCGAAGGAGGCAAGGCCATGGCTGCTTGGCTTCCTGCCCTGAGCTGTGTCTTAGGCTGCAGGGCAAGGCGAGGGATGGAAGAGGAGCCTGATGGATTCCCCCGGGAGAGAGACACAGCCAGGAGTCTGGGAGGTCAGAGTGGACACAGTCACAACGAGGAGCAAGAACACAGAGAAAAATACTCCGAGACCTGCAGAGGTCAAGAGGGCATGGGCCAGAGCAGGGGAGGGGTGAGCAACTACCCGTGCCCAGAGCTGGGAGTCACCCGAGAACAGAGAGGGCAGTGCCTGGCACCCAACAGGGCGGGTCCTAGCGCTGCTTCCAGCAAGGTCAGAACAACACACAATTCATGGGCATTGGGTGGGACCCCGGGGAAGGACTTTTACAAAGAGGTAATGATTAGTCCCAAGTAGGTGAATACCTTATGACCCATACCTGTCTAACAAATCATAGAAGAAAGATGCCAAGACACCAAGGCCTCCAAGTACCTATGTCCTAAATAAAGGTCAACTATGCTAATAGAAACAAAAGATACATAACTGAACAGCCAGCATAGTAAAGTCACAATGTTTGGTTTCTAAACAAAGATTATCAGATATGCAAAGAAACAAGAAAAACCAGCTCAAAATGGGGAGGGAAACCAACCATCAAAGCTAACCCGGAGCAATCAGAGCTTTAGAACTTTTTGTAGAGGACACCATAATTATATTTCAGATGTCCAAAAAGTTAGACACACAGAAGACATAGAAAGGTTCAAATCCTATTTCTACAGACAGAGAAACACAGGATGGTATCACTAGAGGGTTACACAGCAGAAGAAAGAGCAGTGTATCGGATGGTTTTATGTCAACGTGACACAAGGTAAGGTCATCTGAGGGGAGCAAACATCAATTAAGACAGTGCCTTCATGAGATGGGCTGTAGGCGAGCCTGTAAGGCACTTTCACAATTCAACACTGGTGGGGAGGGTCCCGACTATGCAGCTGGTGCCATCCCTGGGCTGATGGTCCCAGGTCTGTAAGAAAGCCATGGGGAGCAAGCCAGCAAGCAGCACCCTTCCATGGCCTCTGCCTCAGTTCCTGCCTCCAGGTGCCTCCCTGTTTGAGTTCCTGTTCTTACTTCCTCCAACAATGAACAGAGATATGGAAGTGTGAGCCAAACAAGCCCTCTCCTCCCCAACTTGCCTCTTGGCCATAGCGTTTCCTCACAGCAACAGAAACCATGACTAGCACAATCAGTAAACCTCAAGTGGTAGCTACAGGAGGATCTTTTTTTTTTCTTTTCTTTTTTTTTTTTTTTGGTTTTTACGAGACAGGGTTTCTCTGTATTGTTTCGGAGGCTATCGGTCCAGCCTGGCCTCAAACGCACAAAGATCCGCCTGACTCTGCCTCCCGAGTGCTGGGATTAAAGGCGTGCGCCACCACCGCCCGGCTGCTACAGGAGGATCTTAAACAGAGCAGAAGAACCCTCTCAAATAAGAAGAGCACCACGGAGCTGGGAGATGCCCTAGGCAATGTTGACGGCGCTAACTGAGGCCCTGACTGGCTGGCCGATGCATAACTTAGCTTTTTGTTTCTTTGAGACATGGTCTCTCTGTGTAATCCTGGTTGTCCTGGAACTCACTATGTACTTCCTGCTGGCCTTGAACTCACAGAGCTCTGCCTGCTTCTGTCTTAAAAGTGCTAGGATTAAAGATGTGTGCCACCATGTCCAACTATTATCAAATTTTTATGTTTTTTGAGACAGACTTTCTCTGTGTAACAGCCCTGGTTGTCCTGGAACTTGCTGTGTAGACTAGGCTGGCCTTGAACTCAGAGGTCTGCTCGCCTCTGCCTCCCAAGTGCTGGGATTTAAGGCCATCACCCGGCTGGCAATTTTTTGAGATAATCAAAATGTTTCTAACTTGTGGAAAATCATAAGGCTCAGCATCTGAGAAGCTCGGTGAATGCCAACACAAGAAACAGGAAGAGCCAAGAACACACACCTGTCACCCAACCACAGAGGCACTGAGGCAGGACACTGAGTTCAGTGCCAGTTTGAGCTGGATAGTGAGACCCTGCCTACAAAAGAGGACATCAGCCTCAAGAGACACAGAAACATCGTCATTAAATTCCTCACAAACAAGCAAAGAAAAAAATCCTAGAGCCTTATGTGGTATCATGCTGCACCCCAGCACTCAAGGGGCTAAGTCGGGAGGACAGAGGGACCAAGGCCAGCGTGGGCTCCATAGTGAGGTACTGTCTCCAGGAAAGTAAAGGAGAAGAAGAGACAGAAAAGACAACAAGAAGAGAAGAACAGAAGAGAAAATCCCCAGGAACAGCCCTAAGCAAAAAGGTCACATTATGTGGATCAGACACGAGAAGGACAGCAGGTTTCCCCGCAGGAGCCTTCCTTGTGAAAAGGCACCGAGCGACATCTTCAAAGAAGGGAAAGACTGCCCACCTCAGACTTCAGACCCGGTGAAAGCACATCATAAAAACAAAGGACGAACACACAAAGCTGGCATTTAAAAAAAGTGAAAGAACTCGTCACCTGTGGACTTGACTTTAGGAACAGTTAAAGTGAGTCTTGTAAATAGAGGGGAAAGGGCGGCAGGTGGCGTGGAGGCGGGAGCACACCAGGAGTGCTGGAGACGGTGCGTGCGTGCGTGCGTAGGGACTCGCTGCCTCTCCTCACTGACGTGTGTGTGTGTGGGGGGGGACTCGCTGTATCTCCTCACTGACGTGTGTGTGTGTGTGTGTGTGTGTGTGTGCGCACGGGGACTCGCTGTCTCTCCTCACTGACGTGTGTGTGTGTGTGGGGGGACTCGCTGTATCTCCTCACTGACGTGTGTGTGTGTGTGTGTGTGTGTGTGTGTGCACGGGGACTCGCTGTCTCTCCTCACTGACGTGTGTGTGTGTGTGTGGACTCGCTGTCTCTCCTCACTGACGTGTGTGTGTGGACTCACTGTCTCTCCTCACTGATGTGTGTGTGTGTGTGTGTGCATGGGGACTGTCTCTCCTCACTGACGTGTGTGTGTGTGGGGACTCGCTGTCTCTCCTCACTGACGTGTGTGTGTGTGGGGGGGGCTCGCTGTCTCTCCTCACTGACGTGTGTGTGTGGGGGGGGACTCGCTGTCTCTCCTCACTGACGTGTGTGTGTGTGTGTGTGTGTGTGGGGACTCACTGTCTCTCCTCACTGATGTGTGTGTGTGTGCATGGGGACTCGCTGTCTCTCCTCACTGACGTGTGTGCGTGGGGACTCGCTGCTTCTCCTCACTGACGTGTCTTTGGATGGAGCCAAAGTATTGGCAGGTGACCCTACACGGCAGGTGCAGAGCCCACCTGTGAGGAGAAGTCTAAAAATGGCACAGAGGCTGGGAGGGGAAGGCGGAAGTGCATTGCTGTGGCTTCTCTAAGAAGCAGCACTGACACGAGGTTCTATGCTGGACTACATACCATGTGGCATGGACACTGCTTTAGATACTTCATGATAACCCAGCGTGTTCATGCACAGATCTAGAGGAGTGGAGCTGGGGCCCAAAGCCAAACCTCTCAGAGCAGTAGGAAACGGAAACTCTCACCGTCAAACTATTAACTTCTAACAGGGGTCCGAAAGCAATACCTGTGGACTCACACCAGTGTCCGTCCGGCTCTCGTCAATCAGTTTTACTGAAACATGACCATTCACTTGTGTATTATCTACCGGGACTTTCTGATGGATGGCAGAGCTGGTCAAAACGGTAGGCGGGTAGGGAAGGAGGGTCTGGGAAGACTTGGGAGGTGAATATGATCAAAACGGCTTGCATGAAGTTCTCTATGCGCTCATAAAATAAAATAAAATCAGAAGGCCCGAGAGCTTGGAACGCTCATCACCTGGGTGCATGGAAACTCTGGCTTGCAGCTAGACCTATAGACATTATCATCCCATCCAAGAGCAGCCACTGCCCGAGGAGCCCCGTACGTTAGTCAGCAACTTCTTCAGGGAGGTTCACTCGTGGCTTCTGTCTTAACAAGTGTTCACACTGTACTTAGGAGGTGTGCTGGCACTGCCCAGAGGGACAATGTCCACCATGTCAGTCTGCGGTACTTAGGTGTGTTGGCATTGCTTAGTTGTGGATGTGAAGTCAGCATCTACGACAGGTGACAAGTTAACTTCTTCCTGAGGTGAGTGGCAGAGATGACTGCGGTGCGGTGGAGGGACCTTTAGGGACGCGCTGGGGCAGGAAGAGTGACAGAGTCGGGTTTGACAGCAGAGACAAAGGAAGGACTGTTGCAGAGCCAGTGTGAGCTAGAGACAGGCTAGCTTTTCCCTCCACCAGCCATTCCAAAATGCCCAACTGAATTTGTCTTCCCTGTGGGTCTCCAAGCTCACTACTGCTCACAGTGCTAATGTGGTTCCAGTCAGACAACTGGCTGTAAAAATGGGGCCTCCTCACTCAGCATAATGACTCTCGTGGACCCCAAGTCACAGCTGCTCAACTTACTGACAAAAATGGACTTCATTATTATTATTATTATTATGACTATTATTATTATTATTATTATTATTATTATTATTACGATTGGCACCAGTGAGCCAGTGGTCAGAGAAACAGAGATCCTTCTCGGCCATGCGCATCGTCAGCACAACTGTCTGAGAGTCCCCTCCCTGGATCCTTCGAGAGCCAGCGATGTGATGGGCTGACCCCACGCCCGCCCGGGGCTGGCTGTTAGGAGCATCAGCTCCTAATTTGTAAGCACCACAAATGGGGTGGGGGTGGGGGTAGAGGGCAGTCCCTCTCAGTCTTGCTTAATGACTTCACGCTGGTGTCATGGCAGCCGTCACTTCTGAGGGTGTAATTGCGAGGTGAAGTCAAAGTGCTAACATTAAATGGAAGAGGATAGCCAGGGAGGCAAGAGGCTTGAGATGGAAGGCAAGCACTGGCCAAACCTTGTCAGGTTGGTTTCGGAAGATGGTGGTCTGAACAGACATACCACGTGTCACTGCGGAGCCCCCGAGAGCCTACAGAATGAGGGGAGCAGCCTGGTGCGGCAAAACAGAAGGGAGGTTCGAGGCCCTGCCAAGTGTCCTGCAGGGTGGGTAGAAGAGTAGGGAGAGCCATCGGAGGATGTGGGGCAAACCCTGTTCGGGGATGAGGTTCAGAATCCACATCCTACACCTTGACCTTGTGTGTAACACCCCATGCCTCCGTCTCTCTATGCTGTGATTAGCAAAAGTCACGTTGCAGGGTAACTGCTGCCTGAGGTGAGCCGGCAGAGCCCAAGCCTGTGGCGCAGGAGCTGAGTGAGTCCTAGGTGCCGCGGGGACGGCCAGGGCCAGGACCAGGTGAGGACCGAGCATGCAGCACATGGGTCTCGGCAGTGCCTACTCTCCTGCAGGAAAGCCGGGGTCTGCGTGGGCTGCGGCACTGTGACTGCAGCGTGGTGGGGCGCTGACGCGCTTGTGAGGGCACAGCAGGGACTCACAGAGCGAGGACACCTCTGTCACCTGCATGCCACTGGGGTGCAGGGGATGGAAGAGGACGGGGTGGTCACCTGTGTGCTTGGTGCCAATGTGGTTCTTTATCTCCGCTTCCTCCATGGTGACAAAGTCGCAGGCCGTGCAGCAAATGGAAAACATCCACTGCTCTTTGTCCACGTGCAGTGACATGTGGCTTACAAACTGGACGTTGAGCTCGGTCTCAAATCCACACACGTGGCAGCTAGAACAAGGAAGAAAAGGGAACGAGTGAGACAGGCTTCTAAATATAGGCTGCTGAGTTACACACGGTGCACACGAGAGCATCAGCTTCATGTGTGTTCATTCTACCAAAAGGTGCAGCATCGAGAAATTCTTCTGGCTGCTGGGATGCCTCTAGAGTGGCCACTGTGCCAAACAGATTAGGTGCCAGCATGATATAACAATCCCATACATGCTATAGTGATGTTAAACAATCATAAAGTTAATTAAAAACTACAGATTCCAGATGCTGCACACGGCCTAAAGGACTCCTTTGGGCACAGAGATGTGGGGCAGAATTGCCAAGTATTTAGTGGAGTTCCACTGGCAGATCCAAACCTGTGCACCTCAGTCTCCCTCCGGCTCTAGAAACCCTTGGGTGCAGTGAGGAGAGCAAACAGATCCTTCTGTGGCACTATGAGAAGAGGCAGTCACATGACCTCTCCCAGGAGAGGCCACTCATCCACCTAGATGCCTTGCAAGGGCAACTTTCTGCCAATGTCACTAGGGCAAGATCTGACAGACTTGGGGGTTTCATGCCGATTCGAGACTGAACACAGACTGTAGCGTGCCATAATGGGCAAGCTGGGCTATCCAAGCAATTGCATGTGAGTTCTGAGACCACCTTTTCCTGTGTTCTTCCCTGTGATACTTAGGCCATAGCAAGGTACTCAGTCACAAAGTGGGGAGCTGTACCACAGCTAACAGCCAATCGCCCACAGAGTCTTGATCTCCTTCTGGGGCCCCAACCTGAAGAACCACCTCCCAGACCATTTCTCTTTCAGTGAATTCTATTAGGACCACCTGAGCTAGCTAGACAGGAATTGGTTCAAACGCAGGTTCAATCTCAGCAAAGGACTTGTTCAAAGGAAGTTAGTGCATGACTGAGAAAGGGCTCCGCGCCCAGCGCTCGAGCCAACAGAGAGGGAGTGTCAGAGCAAGGGGTGTGAGGAACTTGGGTGAGCTGGTCTTGACTCACCTGTAATAATAGGGGTGTTTCTTGCCGTCACTGCCTTCAGAAGTGACAGCACTGACGATGTCCTCTGTGTCGGTACTCACCAGCTTCACAGAGTGCACGGTCAAGTGCTGGTTCAGGTTTGCACGGCACTTAGCAGCGTAGGGGCACAAATGGCATTTGTATTTTCTTTCCTCTGGGGGAGAAACCAAAACTGCTCTCAAAAAAGAAAAAAGATTCAAGAGCTCACTTAGAGGAACCAATGAAGGTCAGTCCAAGCCTCCCTTCATGTGGGGACCAAGGTCATGCCTTGAAATTGTCCCTAAGTGTATCCCTAGCAGTTCCCTCCTGTATCAATACTGAACTCACAAAGATAAAAAGGCTCTCTCCGGGCAGCAGGGACAAGATTTTGAGGCTGAAGCGTGGGTTTTATGGAGTCCAAACCAAATCTGATTCAGGTAGGTTATGGAGGAAGCCGAAAGCCACACGGCTGTGATGGCTGGGTGGCGACCCGACCCAGAGCAGCGGGCCACGATCTGACGCTCTGAGCTGCTTCCTTGGAGCTCTCAGATGGGTTTTTCTGGGACACCTCATCCTTCATCCCTCCTCATGACAAGGTGAGCTCCACAGGGGCTAAAAGGACACAGTGTGAGCGTGTGTTTACTGTACGAGTGTGCGCATGAGTGTGTCTCCATGGGTCAGCCTTCATTCCTCTTCATGACAAGATATGCTTGCTGCGTGAGTGTATTCGTGAGTGTGCCTCATACATCATTCCACAGCCCTCTTAATGACAAGGCGTGTTTCATGTGTGAGTGTGCACATGAGTGTGCCTCATACGCCATTCCACAGCCCTCTTAATGACAAGGCGTGTTTCATGCGTGAGTGTATTCGTGAGTGTGCCTCATACGTCATTCCACAGCCCTCTTAATGACAAGGCGTGTTTCATGTGTGAGTGTGCACATGAGTGTGCCTCATACGCCATTCCACAGCCCTCTTAATGACAAGGCGTGTTTCATGCGTGAGTGTATTCGTGAGTGTGCCTCATACGTCATTCCACAGCCCTCTTAATGACAAGGCGTGTTTCATGCGTGAGTGGGCACGTGAGTGTGCCTCATATGTCATTCCACAGTCCTTTAATGACAAGGCGTGTTTCATGTGTGAGTGTGCACATGAGTGTGCCTCATACGCCATTCCACAGCCCTCTTAATGACAAGGCGTGTTTCATGCGTGAGTGGGCACGTGAGTGTGCCTCATACGTCATTCCACAGTCCTTTAATGACAAGGCATGTTTCATGCGTGAGTGTATTCGTGAGTGTGCCTCATACGTCATTCCACAGCCCTCTTAATGACAAGGCGTGTTTCATGCATGAGTGTGCATATGAGTGTGCCTCATACGTTATTCCACAGCCCTCTTAATGACAAGGCGTGTTTCATGCGTGAGTGTATTCGTGAGTGTGCCTCATATGCCATTCCACAGTCCTTTAGTGACAAGGCGTGTTTCATGCGTGAGTGTGCACATGAGTGTGCCTCATATGTCATTCCACAGCCCTCTTAATGACAAGGCGTGTTTCATGTGTGAGTGTGCACATGAGTGTGCCTCATACGCCATTCCACAGCCCTCTTAATGACAAGGCGTGTTTCATGCGTGAGTGTATTCGTGAGTGTGCCTCATATGCCATTCCACAGCCCTCTTAATGACAAGGCGTGTTTCATGCGTGAGTGTATTCGTGAGTGTGCCTCATATGCCATTCCACAGTCCTTTAGTGACAAGGCGTGTTTCATGCGTGAGTGTGCACATGAGTGTGCCTCATATGTCATTCCACAGCCCTCTTAATGACAAGGCGTGTTTCATGCGTGAGTGTATTCATGAGTGTGCCTCATACGTCATTCCACAGCCCTCTTAATGACAAGGCGTGTTTCATGTGTGAGTGTGCACATGAGTGTGCCTCATACGCCATTCCACAGCCCTCTTAATGACAAGGCGTGTTTCATGCATGAGTGTATTCGTGAGTGTGCCTCATATGCCATTCCACAGTCCTTTAATGACAAGGCGTGTTTCATGCGTGAGTGTATTCGTGAGTGTGCCTCATATGCCATTCCACAGTCCTTTAATGACAAGGCGTGTTTCATGTGTGAGTGTGCACATGAGTGTGCCTCATATGTCATTCCACAGTCCTTTAATGACAAGGCGTGTTTCATGTGTGAGTGTGCACATGAGTGTGCCTCATATGTCATTCCACAGTCCTTTAATGACAAGGCGTGTTTCATGCGTGAGTGTGCACATGAGTGTGCCTCATACGTCATTCTACAGTCCTTTAATGACAAGGCGTGTTTCATGCGTGAGTGTGCACATGAGTGTGCCCCGTGAGTCACTCTTGGGCGCAGAGATGAGAAAGCTAAGGAAATGAACACTGATAAAACTGGAGCCCAAAAGGTCCATCATTTTCCCTCAGCTTCAGGCCAGGGCCAGCCAAGGAAGAAGAAAAAAAAAACTAATGAAATTAAAGGGAGAAAATTACTTGTATAAAATAATTTAATTGGGAATTTTCATTTTACGTAAATAAAATTTAAAAATCTCAATTAATTTGTTAATGGAAATTGGCTCATAGGGCTGACTAAGGCTTCAGGAGAGCCTCCAGAGTGGCGTTCTGAATTCATTTCATTAATCATACGGATCGTAAGGCCAAGGAGCAGCCCTGCTCCCCCATAAGACGATTAAGCATCGAGAACAACCTCACTTGCCATCCCGATGTCTGGGCTCGGCTTGAAGATACTTGTCTCATTTTCTTCACCAGGGAAAATGTGGGTCTAGAAAGTGTTCCCATCACAGAATGCAAGATGCCACCCAATGTCACGGTCCCCTCCACTCCTGTCTGACACTGGCGGGGTCACGGTCGGGCTGAAGTGTGTGTGGGGGGCATGCTTCAGATTTCCTGCCTCGGTCTTGGGAGATAAGGACCTGGGTTTCAGCACCTCTTCCTGTCACCCTCGAAGGTCCAATAACACAGGGATTTCCTCTTCTCAGGAGTAAGAACTTCCTGGGAAAATCTGCCTAATGTCATTATTAATGGCATTTCCTTCAACAGCTTTCCAAATTTCCCTTTGTGATGGATTTATTCACATTCTTGTCTCCCTGCTATTTTGGCAATTTGCTTAATTATCTATCAGCTAACTTCTTTGCTGAAGATGCCTTATTCTCCAATAATCCTCTCTCTCTCTCTCTCTCTGAAGCAGGGTCTCCCTGTATAGACCAGGCTGTCCACACACCCAGGGATCTGCCCGCCTCTGCCTCCCAGCTGGGATTACAGACGTGTACCACCATACCTGGCTCCAAAATTCTCCAGTGTCCTCTGTGATGGGCTTTCCCTTTTCCCCACCCCAGAGTTAACCTGCTTCCCTTTCTTAATCAGGCATCAGGGAGGTTGTCTGGATTTAAGTGCTCTTCACTGACTCTAGATCAGTGATAAGTTCCTTTACTTTTCCATGCCTTTTGAGCTGACCTGAGCTTTAGCTACTTCAGCTGTAGGCAGAAAGTGTGCACACTCCTTTTAGCATCTAACGCTTCCATTTTCTTCCTCTTCCTGTTTCAAATTGATCTTAAGTACGGGACTTTAGTCATCCCTGGTCACTTGAAATTTCATTTAAGTATCTTTAAAGAATGAGGCCTTAAAATCCCCTATTTCTTACAAACACATATTTTTCTGTCTAATACATTATAAAAACTTGAATTTAGTGCATTTAAAAAGATAAAAAGGTCAAAATTAATCTTGTCTCTGCTTTTACTTTTGCATAATTGTACAAAAAATCTTACTTTGAACTTTTGTATTTTTCTTTTTTCTTTTTTGGACTAGGGTCCGTTCCTATGCTGAGCTCAAACCAAAGATGCTCCTGCCTTAGCTTCCCAAATGCTGACGCTACAGGTGTGTTTCCACACACCTGGCTATATCATATTGACAGCTGTGATATGCTAGGCATGTTTCAGAATGCCTGGCTATATCATATTGACAGCTCTGACATTACAGGTGTGTTTCAGTATGCCTGGCTATATCATATTGACAGCTCTGACATTACAGGTGTGTTTCAGTATGCCTGGCTATATCATATTGCTGTCTCTGACATTACAGGCGTGTTTCAGAATGCCTGGCTATATCATATTGACAGCTCTGACATTACAGGCATGTTTCAGTATGCCTGGCTATATCATATTGCTGTCTCTGACATTACAGGTGTGTTTCTGCGCACCGGGCTACATCACATTGACAGCTCTGACATTACAGGCGTGTCTCAGTATGCCTGGCTGTATGTCACTGGTATATTATCTGGACGTCTGTAACGTCTGACTGACTGTATTTCCTTTGGCGCTGGAGGACTGAACCTGGCCTTGCACGTGCTCCATGGCTGAGCCACACTTCAGCCCGGCCATCCCACCTCCCGAACGCTTATGACGAGGTCCCCTGACCTTTTCTGCTTTCGCTTGCTATGCTGTTTGGTCTTTCTTTACTTTCTGTTAATTTCCTCGTCCTCCTCGTCTGGACCCTGAGAACCAACCATTTGCTGCCCATCGTCACAGGTAAACAAGGACAGGAACTACCTCTCCACGCCATAGTGCTCCCCACGCCACCTTGAGAAGAACGATGTGTGTCTTTTCACACCTCACACACCCTGGCTGTGGCCAGCCATCCTTCATACATGTCTGTCTCACACTCGGCACTTAAAATCTAGATTAAAATCTCCTAGTAAAAAGAAGTTGAAACTAAGTAGGCAGGCTCAGCTCCAGCCTCTGACCCATTTTTATGTATTTATTTATTTATTTTTGGTCTTTCGAGACAGGGTTTCTCTGTATTGTTTTGGAGGCTGTCCTGGAGCTCGCTCTATAGTCCAGGCTGGCTTCAAATTCACAGAGATCCGGCTGCCTCTGCCTCCCGAGTGCTGGGATTAAAGGCATGCACCACCAACACCCAGCTAGCCTCTTTAAGAAGATATGAACCCGTTCTTCACAGGGACTGACCTGAAGGTGCTCACACACACACCTTTTCTCATTAGCTGTACCCCCACCCCCGGGAATTCAATGAGCCTTTTCAATACAGAAAAGCTTTCCCAGGGTCTCGTTACTCATGCTGGGCAGCGCTGACCTTCCGCCGTTTCCTGTAGCAATTATCTTAGAGAAACTCAGCTTCCTGCTAGCGACGAGGCCTGGGAGGGCCTGTGGGAGGCTTGGGAGCCGTGGTCCCCCACTCACCTGTGTGCAGCGACAGGTGTCGAGACAACGTCTGCTGTCGGCCAAACACTTTCCCACACACATCGCATGGAAAGAGCTGGTCATTGAACTTCCAGGATGGTAATCCGTTTCCCGCCTCAAGGACTATCTTCTCTGTCTCTGGGCCAAGAGAACAAGGCATTGTGAGGGATCCAGGCCAATGGAAATGCATGGCATCTTTTAGCCAACCCTGAGGATGTCTTCAGAGGCTTCCCCACAAAATGGGACTAGAAACCACTAACAAGAACCAGTGGCCACCCTCATCCTCATCACTGAAGGGACCACGAGAGAGCAAAGGGGTCCACAGTCCAACAGCTGTTGGGTCTTCAGTGGCTCTTTTTTTTTTTTCAGACAGGGTTTCTCTGTATTGTTTTGGGTCTGTCCTGGAACTCACTCTGTAGACCACACTGGCCTTGAACTCACAGAGATCCACCTGCCTCTGCCTCCCCAGTGTGGGATTAAAGGTGTGCACCACCAACGTCCAGCTCAGTGGTTCTTCTTAGTGCTAAGTCAGCACACACAGACAGACAGAGAGAGAGAGAGAGAGAGAGAGAGAGAGAGAGAGAGAGAGAGAGAGAGAGAGAGAGGGAGGGAGGGAGGGGGCTTGACAGCACTCTGCCCACTATACAGAAGGTACTCAATGAACACTTGAGTGGGTGAGAGTTGCATATCAACTTTCTAGACAACTGCTACAAAACAGTAAACAAAATATTTGAAATTCTAGGTTCCAATACGAAAATAAATGGTTCTATGTCTGGAGAGAAAATGTTCCACTGCTCTTTATGAAGAAATTTTGCTGCCAAGTTCTGGTTGTGTAGCCTTTAACCAGGAGCTCACAGAAAGCTGACTTAGGGATGGCCACCAGACAGACACTGCTTCTAGCACAAGAGCACTGCCTGTGTGGTTTCCGCCTCTTGCCTCATCTGGGAAAATGCGTGCTCCACAGCAATCCACACCGATCTTGAGCAGAGTAAGCACACTTCAATACATTCTCTTTGTAGCTTAGAAAACTTTTATTTCTCATCATTGCCAATAGAATTTCCTTTTATTTTCTGACCCGTGCCTCTTCTCAATGAACCACAATGGACTACACAAACATCTTGTCTGGAGCCCTGTGAGCCGGCAGGTGACCTGGGGATGCCTAGAAGAGGGAAATGGACACTTCCAAGGGACTGCTTGTCAGTCAGTCAGTGTTTGTCCTTGACCTGACCTAGTTTCTGCGAGCCTTTCTGAAGCACAGTGCTACATTACAGAATGGAGTACATATGGGGAAAATTAAATGTCACTGGGAACTTTTCATAAGATCCAAGCAGGAGAAAGTGTCCTGACTCTTGCTTGGAGAAGACCACAGAACAAAGTGCTTGGTTTCATACAATTAGGCTAAAACCATTTTCTAGACACAAGTTTCCACCTGTGTTTGGACAAGTCAATTGGATCAATGCACATTTGAATGAGGTTTTGCCCAGCAGTGTAATCTGAAGAAAGAAGACACGAATAATGCATATTTGGAAGGGAGAGCAGGGAAAAGCCGTGGGGAAATTGCGATAATGTTTGCTGTGCAGTACCTGCCAGCAATCCCACCACTGATAAACACAGCTATTGATTGATCTGTGTTTGTTAAAACGCAGCTCTTGAGGCCTCAGGGAGAAGAAACTGGTTTGTGTCAAGCAGGAATGCCTGACTAAGAGGGTCCGTAAAGCACTTGTGGGAAGGGAGGAGGAGCTGGTGAGAAGGTGAAGAGGGAGGTCGGGGACATTTAAAGACAAGGACCACTCCTGGGTCACTGTCCTCAAGCCCAATGTAGTATTTCAGCCACATGGAAGTGAGAGATGGTATTTCAAGTAGTTCCTTCCAAGTGTATAATCAAATCACTTTCAGGAGGGTGACAATTATAATAATAGGTGGAGGTCAAGATGGTACAGTGGTTTCTAATGCATCCACAATAGGTGAATTAATTGTGTCACAGACCCAACACGTAGGTGCAATTAAAAATGAAGATGCCTCTTAATAATTCTTCTGAGTATTAGTCATGTACTTGGAAATCTGAAGCATCATAAAGAATTCAGCTTCTTCCACAGTCTTAGGAAGTCATGACAACTTTGAGGACCGGGACAGCTAAGCAGAGAAAGCACCTCACAGGCACAAGAGGCACCCAACGTACACCAGCCCCAGCCCCAGCCCCAGCCCCAGCCCCAGCCCCAGCCCCAGCCCCGTCTGGGCTGGAGCCTAACACCTTGGTGTCTGCATCTATGCTACAGGGACTAAATATTAGTCTTATTTTACAGTCAGAATGAATGGAGATCTCTTAGCATTGACACATTGATTAGCACAGTTAATTTAATAGCTAACTACTAAGGTCAACTGACAATTCAGAGCAAAAAGTAAGGCATATGCCTGGTAGACAAATGTCTGTAAAGGCTAATAATCTTGGTTGTCAATTTGACACTCCTGGAAAGAGGTTGCCTCAATGCAAGAGCTGGCTCCATCAGACTGGCCTGTGGCCATATCTGTGGGGCATTTTCTTGATTACTAATTGACATAGGAGTGGGACCATTCCCAGGCAGATGGTCCTGGGCTGTACAAGGCTAGCTGAACACTGAGAGCAAGCCAGTGAGCAGTGCTTGCCCATGGTTTCCGCCTCAAGCCTTGGCTCCCCTTGATGACAGATTAATCTGTAAACCCCTAATTCCCAAGTTGCTTTTGGTTATAGTGCTTATCACAGCAATAGAAAACAAATTAGAACAGTATTTTAACTAAACTTAAGAGATGTGCTCTTATGATTCTCTCAGTAGAAAACGCTTGCAGTCCTAAGTCAAACGGCAAAGCTTTTACAGCCTCCCAGTTGCACCACATCCCGGGGATTCTGGCTGAGACAGTCTCTCTGGCAGACATGACTGCTGTTGACCCAACAGTCATGGTCAACAACAGTCCCGTGCTGCCCTCTCCAACTTGGAGGCAGCTGCTGTTGGTCATGAGTTAAAAACGCTGGCCAATGAGACGGCTTTTGCCGTCATGATGAGAGGAAGGATGATTGGGTACTGGTTTCTCTCTGCTTTCATGCCTCGGCAGTAGAGGGAATCCCTGGGTTGGTGGCCGGCCGCTATGTGAATAAGAAGCATGAAGATGCAAGCCAACTTTAAAGCATAGAGGGGGGTATGGAAAAAGAATCAAGGCTTTTGCTGGCATTGCTCAGTGGCCAAGTGAATGCCAGGAGTCATCTACCACTGCATTTCTTGTTTGGTGAAGAACAGAAGTCACTGCACTTTTAATTCTCACGCCACTCTTGTCTGACACTCTCTCGCACGCTCCCCCCTCTGCAGCGTCCCTGAAGGGCACCCCATCTTCACTCTCGGCGGCGGCAAGTGTGAAGCTGGATGAGCACATTCCCATCTTAATTATCCGTGGTTCTGCTTTAAAATCCTTACAAGCCTTTTTTTATAGATCTGTAAAGGAATTTGCTTTTTACTTTATTTTATTTTTTACCGAAACATAATATATACCCCAAATGGAAAAGTACACATACCAGTAACCGCATCTCAATTAGTCCCAAAGTCTCCAGACAGTTCAAACTATGGGTATTATTTAAAAATCCTGACTTCCTTCTTTATTTCCTCCCCCTGGTTTTTGTTTCATTTACTTTAAGTGGCACACAGTTATGATTATTTTCTTTTCTTTTAGAGCAAAACTCCAGTCTAATGACAAATTCTTTCTTGCCTAGTCTCATAGGATTTTATCTTTGGCAAAATATTTTATTTCTTTCAGACATTTTGATTCTGATTTCTGGAATACCTCAAATTGCTTTGTAGACCCCTGGCAACTTAGTGCTCTCCTCGCTAACTGTTCACCTACAGTTTGGCCTTGAACATCACTTCGGGCTTTTCCGTGTCCTTAATGAAGGTTTCTGTTTCGTTTTGTGTAAAACATGGGATGCAGGCCGTCATACACGCAAGCTCATGCCCAGCTGTGTTTTTATTTTCAGTGATGCAAGATGTATAGGCACAAGTAATTTTTGTCTCTGCAGTGTCTGTGCAGTGTCAATGAGAGGTCTCCAGATATCTCTACACAGTGACTTGAGGCCCCCCTATTCATGATGATGAGGCCTCATTATGCAAGACGCTGTATGGAAAACTGCTTAAGACCCACTGACCCAAAGGCATTTGTCTTATTTAATACGTAGGTCATGAGCATGGGATGATCAAACCAAACACCTGTGTCTCCGAAACCGTACGTGAGATAAACCCATATGGTAGACTGGGGCACAGAATATGGGTCAAGCTGAAGACCTAAAGAACCTCAAACCCAACTCCTTCACAAAAGAGGACCAAATGATCATTAATTCCAAGACCTCTCCCAACCCATGTGCAAGTTGCACATGGCCAAGAAGGGTTTCCATGGTTACTATGTCTCCATCCTACCTCAAACCTTCATTCAAGAAGGAACTTGAATTTTCATCTTGTTTTAGCCTCTTTCCTTAGATGAAAGAAAACCAAGACCCAGAGAAATTAAGTGACTTTCCTAAGCCATCTTGATAGTGGCTAAGGAACTGGACTCCCCCATATCTCATTCGTGTTCCTCCAAGTCACAGGAAACCAACTCAAAATTCTACCACAGCGGTTTTGTCTCCTCTCCCTATTCCTTGGCTATGTACTTGACATCCTTTGTTACAAGTGGACACATCCCAAGTTGGCAACAATTCAAAAGCTAGGATTCCCTCTACCTCCTTTCTTGAAAGGGCTAGACTGGGCCATTCCAGACACAGAGGTTGAAAGCCTACAGTAAGCCATAAACTGTAGCAAGGAGGGTCAACAGAACAGTCAGATGGGTCCATCCTAAAAGCCAAGTCTTCCCCTCGATGTCAAGGACGTCGCACTGAAGAATCCCTTGGGCCTTGGTTGCCACACAGGGAGACTGTGGTGACAAACACATTTGAGGTACCACTCTCAGAGCAAGAGGGATAAAGAGGAGGACTTGAGTTTGCCTCATTAAAGTCTCTGGCTTTCTGTCTGGAGCATGACATGGCTTTGCCCGTGTGTTTCCCTGGGGGAGAAATGCTATGTTCTCTGATGGAATGATGCTCCCCAGCAACCATCACTCCACCTGATTTAGCAAGAGAAATGCGG